CACCCAACAACATGTAAAGGCAATTCAATATGTTAGTAAACACTTAATTTTTAATTGATATTCTGATTGCTTTCAGTCTTTAAAAAAGGCCCTAAGCCAACAATTATTTTATTATGCCAACTTTTAGCGCCATATTACTATCTTGGATGAGGCTTTTTATGTTAGTAATTTATGTTTTGTTTCCACTCTAATAGGCTGATCCTACAACCTTTATAAATGACCAACTAGTTAATGAACGACACACAGCATATTATGCTACTTTTACGCTCCATATTTCACAGCGTTCGTTTACTTAATTCTGCCATTGCTTTACTACCATAATTTCTTATCTTTTGTAATATTATAAGTATTGCTATCCTCTCGCCATTTTCATTAATTTCGTCAGCAACAATTGATCAAGTGTTCCACGAATGAGTAGATTTGATACTTTCTAAGTATTTTCATTTTTTATTACTACTATTATCAGGATTTATCGAGGCCCCTGGCCTATTCTCTTATCACTATCTGACTACTGCCAGATGTCTCGCCTTTTGAGCCCTCAAATTCCCTTCCCTTTATTTTACTTCAGCTTGGCCTTCCACCAGTCGATTATACGGATTCTGCCTTGATTTCTCAGGATGAGAGTCTTGTGACCAAGCTTTTTCAAACAATGGAGACAACGGGAGCAGATTTCACAAATGTCTTTCTTGCCCTCGAGGATACTCTGCTTCAAGCAGCTGAGTCACTTGCTTGTGTCATGACTTTTGCCAATTGTCCCCATTCTTCTAATACAGCGAACTTTTCCAACAATGTTACTGGCGTTGACAGTGGAAGCAACATTTTATCCGCTCTACATCTTAATCCTGCCTATTTGGCTGCTGAATGTTCGAATCTTGACGATATCCTTTCATCACCTAGACCAAACAGGCCAGATAAGTACGCCGCTCCTATAATGAATCCATAATACCTTACTAATGGAATTGTCAAGCGATATTAATATTCCAATGGTTAGGGGGATTGTTGAGGCTATCTCTTTTATGATCAACCAGAGTTGCGTTTTAGATGATTCCTTTAAATAAAACGCCTTAAATCGGTAGCATCCATATTTCGATGCGGATTTCAACTTTAAAGCTTTATAATGTTGTATATGCGAAGAAAAGTTGGGTTTCGAGGAATCTCTTGTTTCATGATTGTTGAGCTTACTTCCATTTCGAGTGAAAGTGTTTGGTAAAGAGATTCGAATGTTTATTTCACCAGAAGACGATAGCAGATTCCTCCTGACAATCTGTCGATTGGCTTTACTGGAACATTCATGCTGACGCTGTTTCCTTGGTAATCTCTTTCGATACCAATGAAAAGGTGCTAAGTGTTTGTTCGTCATATGACTAGTATCATCAGAGCAAGGTATCATCGTCACAACCAAGTTCAAGCTAACGAGTCAAGAATACTCACCGGCAAATCCCTAAAAAGCGTTATATTTACTCTACATCTAGCCTCTTTAATCAGGTATACACTGATTTGATTAGTTACGGTCATGTGTCAAATTCGAAGCCTATGAGTGTTTTTGTATTTGTATGTGCCTATTTGTGTTCGTCTATGCACGAAACCCGCATTGAAGGCTTAAAGTAATTAGGACAGCAAAACAAAAAATAGGCTCATCAACAAAACCAGACTTGTGTTCGATCTTGAGCAATCGGAGTGATGGTTATAACATGTATGTTGAAAGTGGTAGATAGTGGTCATCAAAACTTGATGGCCGAAAACAGAAGTTACTTTTGCTGTCCTAATTACTTTGAGCCCTCAATTCGGGTTTTGTGCATAGGCGGACACAAACAGGTACATACACATACAGATACAGACACACTCACAGGCTTCGAAGTTGACATATTACCGTAACTAACCGAATCACTTTATACCTGATCAAAGAGGCCAAATGTAGAGTAAAAATACCGCTTTTTAAGGATTTGCCGGTGAGTATTCTTTACTCGTTAGCTTGAATTTGGTTGTGACGATGATACCTTGCTCTGATGATGTTCGTCATATGACGGACGAAACCTGGCACCTTTTCTCTGGTATCGAAGTAGATTATTTCGGAAACAGCGTCAGCATGAATGCTCCAGTAAAGCCAATCGACAGATTGTTAAGAGGAATTCGCCGTCGTCTTCTGGTGGAGTCGACTTTCGAATCTCTTCACCAAACACTCACTCGAAATAGAAGTGAGCTCAACATTTACAATGTTGAAAACAGGAATAGAGCAAGACCAGCAAAAAGGAGACGCCTGGATCTAGGAACTATCGCTAACCGTAAGAAAAGGGATTGCGATGAGGAAAATGGGGGTCGAGGGTTTTCGGCAATCAAGCGAAGATGTCAGTGAGTGATGTCAGTTTCGAATAAACCAGTACATCTTTGTTGGCCTGGCAATCAGGAAGCTGGGCAGACAGATAAGCACATCGTCACAGAAATTCGGCTTTATGGCCAAAATATACTAGAAATCCACTTGAGATGCCGCATGCGACCAG